CTTTGAGCAGTCATACTGCTCTCTTATATAGAATGCAACTCCCCCACCTTTTCTACCTTACCTGTCCTTTCTAAACAGTTTATATCCATCCATGACAGTCCTCCAGTCATGTGATTTATCTCACCAAGTCTCTGTTATTCCAATCACATCATAATTCCTTGACTGTGCCAGGACTTTCAGTCTCCCTGCTTGTTTCCCAGGCTTCTTGCATTTGTGTATAGGCATTTTGTGTATAATCTTGTGGCTGGGAAAGCATAAACAGTGAAGAAAACCCAGGGAGAACTGTCAGCTATTCTCTAACACAAAAATGGTATTTAAACTGCTGTATAGTCATACAATTCTTATTTAAAGTCATTAAAAGTACTGCCACATAGTAGTACTAGTACAGACTTCTACAAAGCTTAATTTATAAAGAATGTAGTAATATTACATTAAAACTCCTTTTAAAAGATTAGTTTCATTCTCCTCTGGCAATTAATCTCATCTCTGACTCACGGTAATCTTGTTTTTGCTGATTTGGCTGGCATTTAACATTATTCATGATTCTGATGTTAGATACTGGTAATAACAAATCTGGGTCCATTGTTCTAGCCTTAAAAATATGACAATGTTTTTGTGTGAAACCCTAAGTGTAAGTGTTTCTCCATCTCTTCCTGTTTCAAGATTTCTTGGAAGATGAGCAATTCCGCAAACCATGAACGTAGGAAACTATGGGTTCTGGCAATATATATTTCTCTTTTTTTTTAGGGTCAAACTCTGATCCAAATGGACTCTGTGGCATGTAGCTCGCAGAATCTCAGTGATTTGGGCCCTATGGCCATGAATGGGAAATCTAGAGGGTGGATCTTCCTTCTCAATAGTAGCATTTCCCGTTGTGGAGTGGTTATATCAGCTGCATTCACTACTAAACTATTGCTTAGAGTAGGTAGAACATTTTTTGTCAAAACACTTTTTCAAGAAAAAGTGGTTTTTTGAGATGTGTTGCATATGTCCATTCCACTGCAGGTGTGTGCAAGCCCACTTGTCAGAGATTTTTCCCTTGCCATGCAAAAGTATAAAGGGCAGAGCTGCCCCGACCCTCGCCCCCCCCCCCCCAGTTCCTTCTTACCATGTGTGAAAGTTGTAGGAATGTGTGGTCTTGCAATTGCAAAATTTTCCCTCATATTTGTATGTAGTTGGTACGTGTTTTAGTAGTTTTTGTAGTTTGGACTGTTTGGTAGATATAGAAATATTGTTTTTTAAAATGTTTTTAAAGCTTCAATTCCCATTGCTGAGTCCCAGTGGTGGGGCAGGCATGGCTTGGTCAACGGGTTTCAACTTGGTCAGCTGCCCTTCCTGCAAGAAACCAATGCCAGTGAGTGACCTACACTCAGGATGCCTGAAGTGTCATGGAGAGACACATTGGGATCAGTGTCAAATTTGGAGGGACTTTAACCCAATAACCAAGAAAAACAGGGAGGCCAGACTCAAGTTTCTTCTGATGAAGGCAGCCCTGCATCAACCCTTAGAGCCTTCGGAGTAGGAACTGAGTGCATCTGCATCCATCAGAATTGTTCCCTCTGTTTTGATTGAGCTTTGGGGCCTATTGCCCTCCCTGGTACTTTGGGAGAGACACCAGAGGAAAGCATTTAAGGGCCCAGTCTCTGGGAGATTGAGGTCCCCAGCACCTCAGTTCGGCAAGCACATGGACGAGCACAACAGAGTATACTCAAGGCCAAGACATTTACCAAGGCAGTCATCTGCTCAGGAGGGACTGTCCACTCTAGCACCAGCACCGTTGAGATTGACCCCCGAAGTGGCTCCATTTAGTTCAACAGTACCTCTACTCTGGCTTATGTGACAGCATGGGATGTGGTGATTCTCAATGTGCTGGCTTTGCTAGCAATCCAAGAATCTTCTTGCCCAGTACCAGTGCTCACTGTAACTTTACTGACTTTGTCCCAGCATGGGGTACAGTGGGTGCCTCTAGTCCTCCGTGTAGCTCTTCATGTGGTACTGTCAAGAAGGAAGCCAGCCATGATCTCACTGATAGCACCATCTCCAGGCTCCCAACATTGATCCTGGGCAATGATTGGAACAGCGCCTACTTGGTTAGAGGAGGCTGGTTCATCTTCAGACTCTGAGTTTGGCTCCTGTGTGTCACAGCCGGACCGTGAACCATTCCCCTTCCACAGCCTACCATCCTTGGTATTTCTTGGAGGCTCCATCTTGGCCATCAAGCAGAGATCATTGACTGGGAAGTAGTTGGGCTCTGAGACCTTACCAATGGCCATTTTGTACCCCTGGGGTTTTTTTTCCTGCCTCCAGGTCATCTCCATGCACTCCCTACTTTGCTTCATCAAGTAGGCACCAAGATTTACCACACCAGGTGCAGAGGGAGACCACTCCCAGTAACAGGCTCAGTACCCAGCAAGAGGAAATTCTCCCTTTAGAGGAATTGAAGAAGGCTCCACTACAGCCAGTTTTGGCGTCCTCCTCTTCATCACCTGATGAGGTAGTGGTATCAAAAAGTTCCTCACTTCCCCCCTGAGGATTATAGGGGTCAGCAGGACTTATTCAAGAGGGTGACTTCCACACTGGATATCCAGGTTGAAGAGGTTGGAAAAAGGTCTCACAGGCTGGTCAACATCTTAGCTTCTGTGGAACCATCTAGAGTAGTGCTTCCAATTAATGAAGCTATTCTGAGCCCACCAAGGTGCTGTGGCAGACTCCTTCTTCGCTCCTCTCACCTAGCAGAAAGGGACGAGCACAGATATTCTGTCCTCTCAGAGGGATTTCAACATTTTTACACCAACCCCACTCCGGGATTGGTGGTAGTCTGAGGTGCCAATGAGAGAGAATGCCAGTGGCAGCAGGTATCTACCCCCCAAAGGAAAGGCTGCAAAGAAGTTAGATCTCTTTAGCAAAGACTTTAGCAAAGCTTTTGATACAGTCTCCTACAGTATTCTTGCCAGCGAGTTAAAAAAGTATGGACTGGATGAATGGACTGTAAGATGGATAGAAAGCTAGCTAGATTGTTGGGCTCAGTGGTTAATGATCAACAGCTTGATGTCTAGTTGGCAGCCAGTATCAAGCGGAGTGCCCCAGGGGTCAGTCCGGTTTTGTTCAACATCTTTATTAATGATCTGGATGATGGGATAGATTGCACTCTCAGCAAATTTGCGGATGACACTAAGATGGGGGGAGAGGTAGATACGCTGGAGGGTCCAGAGTGACTGAGACAAATTGGAGGATTGGGCCAAAATAAATCTGATGATGTTCAACAAGGATAAGTGCAGAGTCCTGCACTTAGGAAGGAAGAATCCCACGCACCGCTACAGGCTGGGGACCGACTGGCAAGCAGAAGTTCTGCAGAAAAGGACCTGGGGATTACAGTGGATGTGAAGCTGGGATATGAGTCAGCAGTGTGCCCTTGTTGCCAGCTAACGGCGTATTGGGCTACATTAGTAGGATCATTGCCAGCAGATTGAGTGAAGTGATTATTCCCCTCTATTCGGCACTGGTGAGGCCACATCTGGAGTATTGCATCCAGTTTTGGGCCCCCCACCACAGAGAGGATGTGGACAAATTGGAGAGTGTCCAGTGGAGGGCAACAAAAATGATCAGGGCGCTGGGGCACATGACTTACGAGGAGAGGCTGAGGGAACTGGGCTTGTTTATTCTGCAGAAGAGAAGAGTGAGGGGGGATTTGATAGCAGCCTTCAACTACCTGAAGGGGGGTTCCAAAGACAATGGAACTTATCTGTTCTCAGTGGTGGCAGATGACAGAACAAGGAGCAATGGGCTCAACTTGCAGTGGGGGAGTGTAGCGGGGCGGTCACCCCACTCTGGTTTAGAAGGGGTTAAAAACAGCCCTGGGAAAGGCTTGAGGCAGTCAATCAGGGCCCAGCTGGGCCAGTATAAGAAGGGCTCCTGGGGAGAAGGAAGTCAGTCTTGCTCCAGCAGTGGAGCAGATGGACACTAGTACTGGGACAGAGCAGTACTGGGAAAGAGCAGGCTGAGCTGGGGATCTCTGACCTGGCGACCTTCCAGGCTGAGGCTGAGGCCTTGCAGCAAAGGCCTGAGGAGGTACTAGGGCTGCAGGGAGGCAGCCAGGGCAAGAAAAGGCAGCAGGTCCAGCCCCCTTGCCAGTGTTGAGTGGCCATTTCAGACTGAAGTTTGCCCCTGAGAGAAGGGGCTAGATGATGACTGGCAGTAGCCACTGAGGCAAGGTGATTATAGGGGCTGAGAAGGGAGACCCAGAGGGTGGGGACACTGCCATGGGGCAGCACCCCAAGGTAAGGGGCACTGTGGTCCAGGTGGAATGCGGGGCCTGAAGTGGTAGAGATAAAGCAACTGCAGAGGGGCAGGTAAGGGCAGGGGAGAAACTGGCTAGAGGAGGGTGCTCCTGAGCTGGATGAGCTAATTCCTGGACTGACCAGCAGGAGGTGCTGCGCCGGTGCATCAGCACTGTTACACATGGTGGAAAACGTGGGCTTGTGCAGTCCACCCCTGATACAAGGGGAATTGTGAGGACTGGGCAAGGTGCCAATATAGGGGGAAGGGATGATGGATCCCACCTATGTAGAGGGTTTTTTCACGGAGGGCTCTTATGCTGTCCCTGGCTAGACTCCAGCATCGGTGCCCCAGTGAAAGGGGACTGGTGTGCAGTGATGAAGGCTAGAGACCCTACTACAGGTGATCCAGGAGGGACAACGGGAGGTGAATTGGACCCTGCAGGAACAGATAGGACAGCTGTTTGTAAGACTCCTGAGGAAGGAATCCAGGAAAGACCACAGAGCGTGGTGGGAAAAGCCTGGCACCAGGGCCAGGAGGCCAGTGGTGGAGTACAGGACTTGTTATGCCTGCAGGAGGTGTGGACTTTTCAGAATGGAGGATTCGGACTTCTGAAGTCCAATTTTGCTTTTAGAAAGTGTTTAGTATGTCTGTCTTAATTTAAATATTTTTGGGTTTCATATTTACAAGTCCATAATTTATATTCTTGCTTTTGGTTCTTGCAGAGATATGACAGAGGTAGTTCATATTAAAGACCGAAAGGAAGTAATTCATGAAATGAAATTTTCACCAGATGGCTCTTATCTTGCTGTGGGTTCTAATGATGGCTTCGTGGATATCTATGCAGTTGCTCAACGATACAAGAAGATAGGAGAATGCAACAAGTCTTCTAGTTTTATTACTTATATTGACTGGTCTGTGGATAGTAAATTCTTGCAAACCAATGATGGTGCAGGAGAGCGACTGTTCTACAAGATGCCATGTAAGTTCAGAGAAGTTAGTTTTATGAACAAATAAGCTAGTTTGATGGTTTCTAAGAGGACAATACAATATGTGTATTCAAATTTCACATCTCAAAGCAGAAATACTTGTTTATTATTTACCTAAATATCTACTGTTTACTTATAAAATCAGATATATTTACCATTCATATTAATCTTTAGGTTTAGTAAAAAGAAATATCTTTCCAAATCTGTATTCATCTAATTGCATATTTCCCATAGTATTAGTTACATTATATACTGATCCACTAAAGAAATAAATTCTAGATCATCATGAATGTCTGAAAAAGCCACCCTTTGTTATACACTGGTTTAATTCCTTTCATATAATGCAGAATTCTGGAATTGGTGGTTAAACTAATTATTAAGAATGTAATTACTAGAAGATGGGAGAAACTTGTCTGGGTAAATGTCAAATGTATCCTTGAAATATAAAAGTTTTCAAAATTCCATGATTATTAGTGGCACTCCAAAATGACACTGTTAAGGTTTGACAGGGCCACTGGAAATCATGAACACAGACCATGCCTGAAAGTCCTCAGCAGAAGACTGTAAATGTATGGGTAACAGCAGTTTGAAGAGCAGTACAGCCTAAAATGTAGTAACGAGTTTAGTATTAGAAAGAGGGACCTAGAGGAGAGTTCATTGTACCCAAGAGAGTAGCTAATTCACTTTAAACCTAAACTTGTCCACTCTTCCAATATTGACCTTATGTAGAATAAAAAACTGCTAATCATAAGAGCTGGTCAGAAAATGGAGTCCCATTCCCCACCATGCCCAGGTTTCCCGGATCTAGGATTCCGGCTGAGCATCACAGAGCCTGAGAGTCATGGGAACTCAGTCTTGAGACAGAGCTCTCAAGATATGCAGGCTCCAGGGCACAGCGTTGGGAACCTGCAGGTTCTGGGATGGAACCCCACACCACCACGGGGAACCCCACAGCAGGGAGCCTGGAAGCCATGACAACCGTGGCTCAAGCTGGGGCTTTCAGGATTTATGGGCTTTCTGCTGTGGAACTGGGATCCTGGGAGACCTAAGCCTGGGGCAGTCTGCATGATATGGCTGCCCTGGATACGCAGACTCTGGGAGCCCAGGCAGCTGCTGACTAAAATTGACATTCTTGTCCATTTCACTGCTGCTTGTTTCTCCTAAACTGGAAATCCTGAGTTTTAGCCAGATCTACTAATCATGAGAAAGTATGTAATGGTTTTGTGACATTGACAAAATAAAGATTATGATGAGACTACTAAACTCATTTTCACTTGTGACCTTGGCCAGGATTTGAATCCAGATCACCAAAAGTGAAAAGCTAATTTATTGGCCTGCACCAAAATTTAGAATTTTAAAGATTCTTTATATTATTTATACATTTGAAAGGACAAGCACTTAATAAATTCTTTGGGGCTTGATCATATGAGTTTGTACAGTACCTAGCACAACAGGATCACAATCCTGAATGGATCCTCTGAGTGCTACCATAGTAAAAAGAATTAATTTTGTTTAAAGCTTAATAAGAAAGTATCTAGATTAAAACTGCCTCTCAGATTTAGAAAAATATGATGAATAACAGGAAAAGATTTTGTTTTGGTTTAAAACATGTCTTCAGCAAAATGAGCTTAAAATCTAGTTTAAAAATGATTACCTAAATCTCTCATGTTAAACTTTATTTAATTGTCATCACTGTGTTAACTTTAAAATGAACAAATCTTTAAAAAAAATCAGTTTACGATCAGCATTCCTCTATTTCTCAAAGTTTGCATCACTTGAGGTTTCCATATCTGCATGTAGTATGCATATATCCTGGGGAGTAACAATTTGAAGGGTTTTTTGCTAATATTATATAAAATATTATACAGAGGAAAAAATGTTTACTTTAATAAATTATGGCACATTAACTAAATTAAGCTAAATTAAGCATTTAGATAACATAGTGATAGGCACTTTAGAATTGTTGATAGATTTACATTTAGATTAAAATGTTTGGAATATTCTTCTGGACAAGAAATCCAGTGGGCTGTACATCCCTAATTGCTTTATAATCATTTTAGAATGAAAGCTAAAGATTTAGTCTATACTTAATAATTTTGAAGAAAAAAGAAATGTTACAATTAATAGATTTCAGATAATTTTTAATGTCTACTGTAGAGATGAGCTTGAACCAAAAACCCTGGATTTGACACCCCCAAGAATTAGACCCAGCTCTAATTTAGTGAAGTTTTAAAATTAGATTGCTTTCTTTTCATCTGACATCTCCTTATATGTTTAAAATGTAGCTAATGAATACTATTACATATGGTAAGCTTAACTTTGTTTCCCCTACAGAATTGGTATAGTCTTCTTGGGACAAGTCCAAAGTTCTTCATAACAATTCTTGAAATTATTCTTCAATGAAATTTGACTTCAAACATTACTCTGCTGATCAGCTCATGTTATGTTGCTGATACAAGCTTAATACAATAGGATTACTTGCGATCATTGCAAATGAAACATGAATAAAAATGTTTGTCAGCTAATATTCTTTCCCCAATTATATTTATTCTCCTAGTACATTCAAGACATTCAGAAATGCTGTTTACATAGGGAGCATTAAAGATTACCATGAAGTAATAACATGTGTAATTAACTTAGAGGAAAGCTATTACCTATAGAAAAGTCTTTGTTAATGTAAAGAGTCATTGTATAGTGACAGGTTAACCAAATAGTCTCATTTATTTGATCTTATATAATCCAATAAAGCAAACTCCTGTACCAGTTATAAAAGTGAAATTAATAAATGGAGGTAGATTTAGGATAGGATATTTTAGAACTTTAGTCCCCATTTCAAAATTTGAATGAGTACATATTATTTTATTAATTTTATGGCACCTAAAAGTGTTCTATTTATTTATGTGTATATGTAAGTTAGAGACATTTCTTTTGCTATAGAAGATGTGACTTTTTGAGTCAAAATGGTGTAAAATCAGGATCTAGATAATCTGTGTAAAGTGCTCAGATTCTACAGTGATGATCTAGGAAAAATCATAACCAGCTAGATCATATTTATTCAAAATAAAATAATCTTTCTTTGTTTCTTGACATAAAAATACTGAGCTCAGAAAGAACACACAACTAACTATAATGGAGAAAAGCCTCTTTTTAATGGAAAGATAGTTGGTTAAACAGCGTATTAATTTGACTGTTTTCAGCTGGGAAGCATTTAACCAGCAAAGATGAGATCAAAGGAATTCACTGGGCCTCATGGACCTGCGTGATAGGGCCTGAAGTGAATGGAATTTGGCCAAAATATACCAACATTACAGATGTCAACTCTGTGGATGGAAATTACAGCAGCTCAGTGCTCGTGTCTGGAGATGATTTTGGATTTGTTAAATTATTCAAATTTCCTTGCCTAAAGAAAGGTAAGACACACTTTTTTCTTCTCAGGAATTCAGTAATTAAACTGCCACTGAATGCATGTTATATTACACTGATATTATACTAATATAATTACTGGGATTTAATCTCCCCTTGATGCCCATTCAAAACTACCATTAATATTAATGAGAATGATGTGTACATATGAGAGAATATGTTCCACTGATTCTAAAATGATCATTCAGTCAATGCTTGTGATGTTTCAGTGGAGTGGGTATTGCCTTATGTAACACTTAATATAAGCAGATGTCAAATAAGGCTTGTCAAGGTTTCTTCCCCACTCTGAACTCTGGGGTACAGATGTGAGGACCTGAATGAAAGACCCCCTAAGCTTATTTTTACTAGCTTAGGTTAAAAACTTTCCCAAGGCACAAACATTGCCTTGTCCTTGAACAGTATGCTACCACCACCAAGTGATTTAGGCGAAGAACAGGGAAAGGACCACTTGGAGTTCCTATTTCCCCAAAATATCCCCCCAAGCCCTTACACCCTCTTTCCTGGGGAGGCTTGAAAATAAACAAGATGAGTACAAACCAGCCTTGGATTTTTAAGACCCAAAAAACCCAGTCAGATTCTTAAAAATCAGAACTTTATTAGAAGAACAATAAAAGATAAGAGAACAACTCTGAAAGATCAGAATGGAAGATAATCTTACAGGCAGTCAGTTTCAAAACATAGAGAATCCCTCTAGGCAAAACCTTAAGTTACAAAAAGACACAAAAACAGGAATACACATTTCCTGCAGCGCAGCAAATTTACAAGCCAAAACAAGAAAAACCTAATGCATTTTCTAGCTAGATTACTTACTAACTTTACAGGAGTTGGAGGGCTTGCATCCTTGATCGGTTCCCGGCAAAGGTATCACACAGACAGACAAAAGTCTTTTTCCCCTCCTCCAGATTTGAAAGTATCTTGTCCCCTCATTGGTCATTTTGGTTCAGGTGCCAGCGAGGTCACCTTAGCTTCTTAACCCTTTACAGGTGAAAGGATTTTGCCTCTGGCCAGGAGGTTACCTTTCCATTTATTTTTATGACAAGGCTATTCTAATCACTTTCCAGAAGAGTGTATTTCTTTTTCCCTGCATATTTTAGACCCTTGCCTTTTATTAAAATATTCCTATCTAACCATTCTGGAAAACATCCACTTGTTGCAATTGAGCAATTGTTATGATCATAGCATCTTTATAACTGTATCCTATAAAAATCATCTCCTTACGAGCATAGTATATTCCTGTATTGATGAGACAGACTGGGGCTTTCTCGAATGTTTGGATCCTGGTTCTTGAGAAACCAGTCAGCTCTGCAACAGACTTATGTTGGTACCCAGTCAGCTCTGCAACATACCTATATTGGTATAACTATGTCGCTCAGGGGTGTGAAAAAAAGGGCCTGAGCAATGTAATTATACCGACCTAACCTCCTGTGTAAATAGCGCAATGTCAGCGGGACTGAATGGCTAGGCAGCAGTTCTGCAGAAAAGGACCTAGGGGTTACAGTGGACGTGAAGCTGGATATGAGTCAACAGTGTGCCATTGATGCCATGAAGGCCAATGGCATTTTGGGATGTATAAGTAGGGGCATTGTCAACAGATCGAGGGTTGTGATCATTCCCCTCTATTCGACATTGGTGAGGCCTCATCTGGAGTACTGTGTCCAGTTTTGGGGGCCAGACTACAAGATGGAAGTGGAAAAATTGGAAAGAGTCCAGCGGAGGGCAACAAAAATGATTAGGGGACTGGAATTCATGACTTATGAGGAGAGGCTGAGGGAACTGGGATTGTTTAGTCTGCTGAAGAGAAGAATGAGGGGGGATTTGATAGCTGCTTTCAACTACCTGAAAGGGGGTTTCAAAGAGGATGGCTCTAGACTGTTCTCAGTGGTAGCAGATGATAGCAGATGAAGAGTAATGGTCTCAAGTTGCAGTGGAGGTTTAGGTTGGATATTAGGAAAAACTTTTTCACTAAGAGGGTGGTGAAACACTGGAATGGGTTACCTAGGGAGGTGGTGGAATCTCCTTCTCTTGAAGTTGTTAAGGTGAGGCTTGACAAAGCCCTGTCTGGGATGATTTAGTTGGGGATTGGTCCTGCTTTGAGCAGGGGGTTGGACTAGATGACCTCCTGAGGTCCCTTCCAACACTGATATTCTATGATTCTATGTACTTCATGTGCCTGAGACTCGAAGATTCATGTTAGTAGTGTTCATTGGTCTGTGTCTGTGCTGTTCCTGTCCTCTTGCACCAAATCAAGGGTAAAAGGGGCAGTGTGGACTGATTGTTTCTCCAATTCCTTTCTGCCACCACATGGCGTGAGACAGAGCCTACAATGTCCAGAGATTTGATCCTTCTACTTGATTCTGTAAATATTATATGTATGAAGTTCTGTTAGATAGTTATTAGTTTGCTCAATATAGTTAGTTAGGACTTGGGAGTTTGCCTCCCTGCTCCTGATTTGGGGTTGGGAATATGGCTTGATCAGTGACGAGTGACTGTCAGAGGCGCCTGTACTGCCTCAGAGAAGTGCACATCTCCGTCAAGTGCAGTATGTGCTGCTCTTTCCTCAGGCAAACTTACCAGGTACAAAAATTCAAGCTGAAGAGACATCTGATAGAGTGTGCAATGAGAGCTCAGTCATATCCAGGCAAGGAGACTGCCCCTCCCTTGTTCTGGTCAGAAGCTTCAAAAAACATGCCTCCTAGCACCATTACTTTCGACACAGGGATGGGTAAGAATAGAGCCAAGGGCTCTTTTTCTCAGGGGAGGCATTCTCAAAAATCTAGAAAGGTGTGCCCCTTGAAGTCCACCTCTAAGGGGAGTGCTTCTTCCCCAACACTTTCTGTGTTGCGTGACTCTTTGCACCCTGTCCCAAAAGGTTCAGAAAATCTGAAGAGTCACTGCACCAATTTGCAGGCTCCAAAAACTAAAGGTGCTTCAGCTCCAGTACTGTCTGCAACAGCTGGTCTGTCATCAGTAACGAACAAGGACTGACATTGTGAGCCTAGACTGGGTCAACCCCCAGTACCAGCAAAGGAAAAGCATAGAGATTCCCTTGAACCGATGGTACCTTCATGCTCACATAGTGAAGTGTTGGTTTCCAAGGGATTTCATAGAATCATAGAATATCAGGGTTGGAACGGACCTCAGGAGGTCATCTAGTCCAACCCTCTGCTCAAAGCAGGACCAATCCCCAATTTTTGCCCCAGAACCCTAAATGGCCCCCTCAAGGATTGAACTCACAACCCTGGGTTTAGCAGACCAATGCTCAAACTACTGAGCCATGACTCCTGCCCCCTTCATACACTGGCTCTGTCAATATGGGGAGAAACTAACTGAGGAGAGGTATATGACAACAGAATATCCTCCCAGATCTGCGGTCTCTCATCTTATTGGACCTGGTCCCGTCTAGGGAGGTTCTGACACCATCAGTCCATGAGCACTATAAAGGGAGAAGCTGGTCTCCGGTCTGTCTACCAATATAGGCATTGCAGCCCTACCATACTGCTGGCACCCCATTAGAATTGAACCCTACATTCTCCTTTTCAAGACAATCCAACACTGAGGAGGAACTGACATCTCTACCACAGAAGGTGAGCCCAGATAAAGGATTGAGAAGCTCCTGGGCTCCCCCACGACCTATGCTATGGGGACTACCTCAACTCATGTTGGATTTTTCTCACTGGCCTTACTGGGGATGTGGGACCCACACATGCAGTATTCAGAAGTGGTACAGTCCTGTCAAGAATCACAGCATCCTTTCTCCTCCAAGAGACCAACCTGGCCTGCTCCATGAGCCTGTGGAGGAAGAAGAGCCAGATTCAGCAGTTCGGCTGGTTTTGCCAAGAATATCATCTTCGTCTCCTAAAACGGCAGTTGCCCCGGTCTCACCGTCTCTGCTGGATGATCACAGCAGATCCTGGAGCTGTTAAGGAGGGTTGCTGATATACTCCAGATTCCTCTGAAGGAAGTCCAAGAGACATCCCACAAACTCCTGGACATTTTACAAAATGCAGTGCGTCCAAGGTGGTCATATCCTCTAGTGGCCAAAGTAGTGACATACTCCAACAACATGTGCAGCTATTCCTAAGAGGGCAGAAAAGAGGTACTTTGTTCCAAGTGAGGGAGCAGAATTTTTATTCATGCATCTTGCCCTGAATTTCCTGGTTGTTCAGGCTGCTCCAGAAAGGAGTAGGCAACAAGACACCCCTTCAGATAAGGAGGCTAAATGCTTGGACCTCCTAGGGAAAAAAGTGTTTACAGCTTCCAGTCTGCATTTCCAAATAGCCAGTTATCAGGCCCTACTTGTGAAGTATGATTTCATCAACTACTGCAAGTTTTCGGAATTCAGACAAGTTCCTTCAGGAAGACAAAGTGCAATTCCAAGCCCTCCAACCTGCTGCCTGTTAATTTCATTTTGTGACCCCTAGTTCTTAAAGATAAACATCAATGACCTAGAGTTCACAGTTAATGTATCTGATGTGGTTTTCATAAATAAACTAGAAAGAACATGATCAGTCCTATTCCAGAGAGAAAAATCAACTTCTTCTGTCCTGGTGAAAGCAAAATTTCCTATCTCTGTGTGCACTGATCATTAAGGGAAAGATGAACAATAAGACTTGCATGGCAGAATTGTGGAATTAGAACCAGAAACATCCTCACTCATCAGGTTAGCAGGCTGGTGATTGACCTCTTTGTATCGGAAAACAGCAGTACAGTGACCTGTAGCCTCTTCAGGAAAGATCAAGATGTGATGTGGGGAATGACTTCTCACAAAGCTGGGCAATGTTTCTTCCATATGCCTTCCCGCCTTTTCCACTGCTTTCCAGGACTATACAAGAGAGTTACTTTTTATGCCTTTCTGACTGAAGAAGTCTGGACTCCTAGGCATGATTAACTTAGTATTGGACCTTTGGTTGTCTCTGTCTCACAGAGGAGGTTTGCTATTGCAAAAGTCAGTCGTCCCATATTGTAAAACCCAATCCTTATCCTGGTCCAGACAGGTTCAAAATGGATACTTGTGTGAAGTGATTTTCAAAAGAAGTCAATGAATAGAACCTATTCTACTGGCTAGTGCAAAGTCCATATTTTAACTAATATGTTAAGTATAGCCTTGACTTCCCCCAGGAGGTGTTAATGTGGCCTTAATAGGCAAAGAGGTTAAGCCTTTTTGGTATAATGTCCTCAGCATGTTCAAGAAAAGGAAGTTTTGTACAAATCCCAACATTAAATGCTTCCTTAGGGCACCAACCTTTATTCTAGTCCCACAAGCTCATAAATAAATACATCGGAACCTAAATTCCCTCTAAGCTGTGTGGCCGGGTGGCCACCCAGCAGGCTATCAAATGCCGGCACTTCAGGTGTCCCTCTCCACACTGCTGTGCTGCTCCTGCCCTCTGCCTTGGAGCCCCTGGCCAGCTGCTACCGGGAGGGGGAGGTGGGCACTGATGTCAGGGTGTCCCCCTTCCCCTGTCCCTGTACCCCATCTCCACAGAGCCGGGGGCGACATGACAGGGCTCAGGACAGGGCTCAGGATGGAGGGAGCTTGCTGGCAGCTGTTGCTGTGTCTGGACAAGCAGGCTTCAGACTGCTGAGTGCCAATCTACTTAAAAGGGCAGCGTACTTAAAGGGGCAGTGTGTGTGTGTCTCTCTGTCACGCATTTGCACTGATGGCATGCAAAATCCAACCTCAGAAGATTATTTTATCTCAGGAAATACTGAACATACTGAGCTACTGTTCTCATTTTTGTTAGACAGCTCATCAGTAGTTTGGTGGTGAAAGGGACTCTCTTCATCCTAGTTTTAAGAATAATTTCTACTCCATTTTCTGGTCAGAATTATACAGAGGGGACTGGGGAATGTTTTATAATTCCATCACTACTTTGTTTTGGTAAAGGACTTCTATTGTTAGAATCATAGAATCATAGAATATAAGGGTTGGAAGGGACCCCAGAAGGTCATCTAGTCCAACCCCCTGCTCGAAGCAGGACCAATTCCCAGTTAAATCATCCCAGCCAGGGCTTTGTCAAGCCTGACCTTAAAAACCTCTAAGGAAGGAGATTCTACCACCTCCCTAGGTAACGCATTCCAGTGTTTTACCACCCTCTTAGTGAAAAAGTTTTTCCTAATATCCAATCTAAACCTCCCCCACTGCAGCTTGAGACCATTACTCCTCGTTCTGTCATCTGCTACCATTGAGAACAGTCTAGAGCCATCCTCTTTGGAACCCCCTCTTAGGTAGTTGAAAGCAGCTATCAAATCCCCCCTCATTCTTCTCTTCTGCAGGCTAAACAATCCCAGCTCCCTCAGCCTCTCCTCATAACTCATGTGTTCCAGACCCCTAATCATTTTTGTTGCCCTTCGCTGGACTCTCTCCAATTTATCCACATCCTTCTTGAAGTGTGGGGCCCAAAACTGGACACAGTACTCCAGATGAGGCCTCACCAATGTCGAATAGAGGGGAACGATCACGTCCCTCGATCTGCTCGCTATGCCCCTACTTATACATCCCAAAATGCCATTGGCCTTCTTGGCAACAAGGGCACACTGCTGACTCATATCCAGCTTCTCGTCCACTGTCACCCCTAGGTCCTTTTCCGCAGAACTGCTGCCTAGCCATTTGGTCCCTAGTCTGTAGCTGTGCATTGGGTTCTTCCGTCCTAAGTGCAGGACCCTGCACTTATCCTTATTGAACCTCATCAGATTTCTTTTGGCCCAATCCTCCAATTTGTCTAGGTCCTTCTGTATCCTATCCCTCCCCTCCAGCGTATCTACCACTCCTCCCAGTTTAGTATCATCCGCAAATTTGCTGAGAGTGCAATCCACACCATCCTCCAGATCATTTATGAAGATATTGAACAAAACCAGCCCCAGGACCGACCCTTGGGGCACTCCACTTGATACCGGCTGCCAACTAGACATGGAGCCATTGATAACTACCCGTTGAGCCCGACAATCTAGCCAGCTTTCTACCCATCTTATAGTGCATTCTTCCAGCCCATACTTCCTTAACTTGCTGACAAGAATACTGTGGGAGACCGTGTCAAAAGCTTTGCTAAAGTCAAGAAACAATACATCCACTGCTTTCCCTTCATCCACAGAACCAGTAATCTCATCATAGAAGGCGATTAGATTAGTCAGGCATGACCTTCCCTTGGTGAATCCATGCTGGCTGTTCCTGATCACTTTCCTCTCATGCAAGTGCTTCAGGATTGATTCTTTGAGGACCTGCTCCATGATTTTTCCAGGGACTGAGGTGAGGCTGACTGGCCTGTAGTTCCCAGGATCCTCCTTCTTCCCTTTTTTAAAGATTGGCACTACATTAGCCTTTTTCCAGTCATCCGGGACTTCCCCCGTTCGCCACGAGTTTTCAAAGATAATGGCCAGTGGCTCTGCAATCACAGCCGCCAATTCCTTCAGCACTCTCGGATGTTGTTATACTCTGTCTGAAGTTTCATCCAGATTAGGAAGAGATCAAGATTTGATGGAGGTCACCTGACCTTGACCAGCTATATTGAGCTAAAAGTTGTTGACCTTGTGTGTACAGTAGAGTAAAGGCTGGGGTTAGGTAAAATTTGTTAGCTAATCCCAATTTCCTTTCTTAATCTAGACAGACCCTTAGAAGATATGTAAATGGTATCCCCTAAAACCAACTCCAGCACTGCCATGTTGCTGCCTACTTGCTCGTATTTCTTTTTTGCAGTCTAATCATTTCACCATTTCAATTCTGTCATACAGTTGCCTTGAGGGACCAAGCAAGAGTCTCAATAGCACAGCTGAACCTTGTGCTTTTTTATAATTGTACCACTCTATGCTGTTACTTTGCTGATGATTTGGCTTTTTATTGTATTTTATTTCAGCATAAAATTTAAAAAAATAACCTCCTATCTTTGGGCCATATAATGAAACTGTTAGGATGGTGGAAGTTTGATTTGAAATGTTGGAAATTTGCAAGAGCATGCAAGCCATGAGACAGATTTTTAATGTATGGTCCCATTAAAAAGAAAACAATTTATATGTACTGTCCTATCACCTTTTTAAAAAATTAACTATATAATTTGTTCATTCAGTGGCTATTTTCACTTTTAACAATTTTATTTTTATATATTTTAGGAGCTAAATTTAGAAAATATGCAGGCCACTCAGCACATATAACTAATGTACGTTGGTCACATGATTTTCAGTGGGTGTTAAGTACAGGAGGTGCTGATCACTCTGTTTTTCAGTGGAGATTTATTCCAGAAAGTGTAACAAATGGAATCCTTGAAACAGCATCCCAAGGTAAAAATTACCATTTTCTGAAAATTTGCTTATGATGTTTATTTTGTTGTTTTTGTTTCATAAAAATCAAAGAAATATGTAGCACTGATGCAGAAGGTTGTGTTGGATGAAGAGAAAAATATTATTTTTCATATTAGTCTTTGGAATACCACACATCCAGCTTGCACAGGGCCTTTTGCTTTCCTGTAGATTCATGAGAGTTAATAGACTAGTGTATGTCCCAGGCAAAATCCACTCAAATAATCCTGTAGCAGGATTCAGGGAATTTACCTGGGAAGATACCAGAGATATTTTCAACTCACATCAAATATAAGAAGCTTGTAAGAGGGAGAGATGTATGAGATCAGAGTCAGTTTTCAAAATTGAACACCTGAAATTGTGTACACAAATCCTAATTGTGCATGAAAAAGGCAATTAGCTGTGTAAATGCCATTTTGTGTGTCTATGTGTAAATATGCATATGAACATGTGAGATTTGTGTGTACAATTTAATGGTCATATTTGAAAATTGCACTTGTAATGTGCATTGTGCCTGTAATATTGAACAGAAGCATATAAATTACATAACGTCAACTGCTAAATATTGGATTTCCCTGCAGGAAATCTTTCACATGGTCTCAGGCCCTGCAGAAATTAACTGATTTTTTCCATGTGATATAACACATTATTTCAAGCAAGTAGAGGGATCACACATCATGCAATATTTCAGGATAACATAAAATTTCTGCATGTCATCACTATAAAAGGTAGTTACAGATAATGTATAATCCCAGTTGAGTGAATTCCATTAATTATTATTAGGGCTGTCAAGCGATTACAAAAATTAATCATGAGTAATTGTGTGATTAAAAAAAAGAATCGCAATTAATCTCATTGTTAAACTATAATAGAAGACCATTTATTTAAATATTTTTGGAAGTTTTCTACATTTTCAAATATATTGATTTCAATTACAACAAAGAATGCAAAGTGTAGAGTGCTCACTTTATATTTATTTTTGATTACAAGTATTTACCCTGTAAAAAAACAAAAGAAATAGTATTTTTCAATTCACCTAATACAAGTACTATAGTGCAATCTCTTTATCATGAAAGTTGAACTTAAAAATGTAGAATTATGTACAAAAAAACCTGCATTCAAAAATTAAACCATGTAAAATTTTAGAGCCTGCAAGTCCACTCAGCCCTGCTTCTTGTTAAGCCAATTGCTCAGACAAACAAGTTTATTTACATTTGCAGGAGATAATGCTGCCCACTTCTTGTTTACAATGTCACCTGAAAGTGAGAACAGGCGTTCTCATGGCACAGTTGTAGCTGTCATTGCAAGATATTTACATGCCAGATGTGCTAAAAATTCATATGTCCTTTCATACTTCAACCACCATTCCAGGGGACATGTGATCATGCTCATGACGGGCTCGATAACAATCCAAAGCAGTGTGGACTGATGCATGTTCATTTTCATTATCTTAGTCAGATGCCACCAGCAGAAGGTTGATTTTCTTTTTTGGTGGTTTGGGTTCTGTAGGTTCCGCATTTCAGTTTTGCTCTTTTAAGACTTCTGAAAGCATGCTCGACGCCTCGTCCCTCTCAGATTTTGGAAGGCACTTCAGATTCTTAAACCTTGGGTCGAGTGCTGTAGCTATCTTTAGAAATCTCACATTGGCACCTTCTTTGCATTTTGTGAAATCTGCAGAGAAAGTGTTCTTAAAATGAACAACATATGCTGGGTCATCATCCGACCCTGCTATAACATGTAATATATGGCAGAATGCGGGTAAAACAGAGCTGGGGACATGAAGTTCTCCCCCAAGGAGTTCAGTCACAAATTTAATTAACACGTTATTTTTTAACGAGCGTCATCAGCTTGGAAGCATGTCCTCTGGCATGGTGGCCAAAGCATGAAGGGGCATACGAATGTTTAGCATATCTGGCACGTAAATACCTTGCAATGCTGGCTACAAAAGTGCCATGCAAATGCCTGTTCTCACTTTCTGGTGACATTCTAAATAAGAAGTGGGCAGTATTATCTCCTGTAATTGTAAACATACTTTTTTGTCTTAGCAATTGGCTGAACAAGAAGTAGGAATGAGTGGACTTGTAGGGTCTGAAGGTTTACATTGTTTTGTTTTTTGAGTGCAGTTATGTAGCAAAAAAATTCTACATTTGTAAGTTGGACTTTCACGAGCAAGAAATTGCACTACAGTACTTGTATTTGGTGAACTGAAAAATACTGTTTCTTTTGTTTATCATTTTTACAGTGCAAATATTTGTAATAAAAAATAATATAGACTTTGATTTCAATTAAAAGACAGAATATAATATATATAAAAATGTAGAAAAACATCCAAAATATTTAAATATTTCAATTGGTATCCTATTGTTTAACAGTGCGATTAAAACTGTGATTAATCGTGATTAATTTTTTTTTAGTTAATCGTGTGAGTTAACTGTGATTAGTTGACAGCCCTAATCATTATTCAGGGTTTTACAATAGAGACCTTGGCATTGAAGTGGGAGAATTATCTGTCTTTACCTTTGCGATACAAAACCAGAAATGTTCACCAAGTCCATAGAATGTTTGCAAACACTTTAAAGCTTCTGAAGGTTTTGCGTTAATTCCTGGTAGTCTAAAAAATTGTGAAAATGTGACATAATATTCTGTTCTGACTAGATAATAACTATTACATGTGGATTGATTTTTATGCAGAGGGAGGTATTGAGTCATACAGTGAAGAGTCAGATTCTGATTTATCTGATGTGCCAGAGCTAGATTCAGATATTGAGCAGGAAGCTCAAATCAACTATGATCGCCAAGTGAGTAAAAATGAATATACAGATGTAAACTCAGCTGCCTAATAATCCTCTGTAACTTTTCAGTAAAGCCAGTTAAAATAAAGTTGCAGCAAATTCATCTGTCTACTTCGAGAAAAAATATTTTGACAATATTTATGCAACCAATATACAAAATAAAAGCAGTGTGTACTTTAGCTACAGATGAGTATTTGAAAAGCATTTAAGAAAAAGTGCCTATATGTACAAAAGCCTTATACTAGTATGATAGATATGTCCTTTTATTATCATGCCCATCAGCTTCAATGAAGTTTCACTCAGCCTGTATTATAATATATCACACATAAAAAGTACTTTAAAAGAACACTATTAAAGTTTCAAAATCAAGAACTCGGAAGTATGGAAATGACAGAATTAAGGATGCTGTGCAGCCTTAATTCTTTCTCCTTGTGTGTATGCATTATGATAGATTTTAATTATATGTTCACATACTATTTTTTCCACAGAACCAATGCCTCATTTAGTTTACAGAATGGTGCTGCTCTTGGGATGAATTAGGGTGGTATAATAAAGGAGGCTGTTGTCTGTAGGACCTTGCCTCATTTGCTGCAGAAATTGGAAGGTGTGTGTTGAATGAGGTAGGGGATTAGCAGGAAGAAAAAGAAAGCTCTGATGGTCAAGGCAGTTGAATGCTGCTGTCTTGGAAAATTGGATTTTATCCCTGACTTTGCCACAGAATTCTGTGTGATGCTGAGCAAGTCATTTAAATCAGGCTTTTTAGAAGTAGTCATTAATTGTGTGTTCCTCATTTTCTGGGAGTTCGACTTGATACCCTGGGGTCTGATTTGCAGAAGTACTGAGAACTCACAGCTGCAACTGAAGTCAATGATGAACTCCGCTTTGAACATAAAAAATGCTAACTAATAATGGTAGTTATTCTGAAAAATCACATCCTCCCTGTCTCACATTGGTCATCCAAATTAGTGGATACTTTGAACTTACTCTTTGTGCCGCAGCTCCCTACAGTAAAATGGAATAATGCCACCTCCTCATCTCACAAAGGTGTTGTGAACATAAATTAATGAATGTTTGTGAAGCATTCAGATTCTATTGAGACAAGCACCATAGAAAGGGACATGAGGAAATTAATAATTCTTTGTTCAGAGTGCAGGTAAATGAGGCCTAGGTTCACACACTGAACGAAACAAAATATTGGATAGCTGCTTATTAAGTGAGCAATGTCCATCCTGTGCCCTAACTGAGGAAGGGGTCCTGTGGAAAAATAGTGTATCATCATGTAATTAAAGACTGTATCATAATGGCACAAGGGGGCCAAATTAAGCTTCCACATGTTGGGGAAGCACTGACTCTGAAAAAGATTTGGGGTCAGTGGTGGCTACGCAGCTGAACATGACCTCCCAATGTGATGCTGTGGCCAAAAAAGCTAATCCTGGAATGCATAAACAGGGAAATCTCAAGTAGGAGTAGGGAGGTTATTTTACCTCAGTATTTGGACTGGTGTGACTGCTGCAGGAATACTGAGTCCAGTTCTGGTGCCCACAATTCAAGAAGGATGTTGATAAATTGGAGAGGGTTCAGAGAAGAGCCACAAGTATGATTAAAGGATTAGAAAACATGCCTTATAAGTGACAGACACAAAGAGCTCAATCTATTTAATTTAACAAAGACAGTAAGGGGTGATTTGATCATCATCTATAAGTATCTACACAGGGAACAAATATTTAATAATGGGCTGTTCAGTCTAGCAGAGAAAGGTATGACACAATCCAATGGCTGGAAGTTAAAGCTAGACAAATTTAGACTGGAAATAAAATGTAAATTTTTGACAGAGTAATTAACCATTGGAACAATTTACCAATAGTCATGGTGGTGTGTTCATCACTGATAATTTTTGAATCAGGATTGGACATTTTTCTAACAAATATATTATTGGAATTATTGTGGGCAAGGTCAATGGTCCGTGTAATACTGGAGGTCAGACTAGATGATCACAATGGTCCCGCCTTGAAATCTATGAATCTATGAACATCAGGAGTGAAATCAGGAAGACCAAATCACAACTGGAGTTGCAGCTAGCAAGAGATGTTAAGAGTAACAAGAAGGGTTTCTTCAGGTATGATAGCAACAAGAAGAAAGTCAAGGAAAGTGTGGGCCCCTTACTGAATGAGGGAGGCAACCTAGTGACCGAGGATGTGGAAAAAGCTAATGTACTCAATGCTTTTTTTGCCTCTGTCTTCACGAACAAGGTCAGCTCCCAGACTACTGCACTGGGCAGCACAGCATAGGGAGGAGGTGACCAGCCCTCTGTGGAGAAAGAAGTGGTTTGGGACTATTTAGAAAAGCTGGACGAGCACAAGTCCATGGGGCCGGATGCGCTGCATCCGAGAGTGCTAAAGGAGTTGGCGGATGTGATTGCAGAGCCATTGGCCATTATCTTTGAAAACTCATGGCGATCGGGGGAAGTCCCAGATGACTGGAAAAAGGGTAATGTAGTGCCCATCTTTAAAAAAGGGAAGAAGGAGGATCCTGGGAACTACAGGCCAGTCAGCCTCACCTCAGTCCCTGGAAAAATCATGGAGCAAGTCCTCAAGGAATCAAGTCTGAAGCACTTAGAGGAGAGGAAACTGATCAGTAACAGTCAGCATGGATTCACCAAGGGCAAGTCATGCCTGACTAATCTAATTGCCTTCTATGATGAGATAACTGGCTCTGTGGATGAAGGAAAAGTGGTGGACGTGTTGTTCCTTGACTTTAGCAAAGCTTTTGACACGGTCTCCCACAGTATTCTTGCCAGCAAGTTAAAGAAGTATGGGCTGGATGAATGGATTATAAGGTGGATAGAAAGTTGGCGAGATTGTCGGGCTCAGTGGGTAGTGATCAATGGCTCCATGTCTAGTTGGTGGCTGGTATCAAGTGGAGTGCCCCAAGGGTCGGTCCTGGGGCTGGTTTTGTTCAATATCTTCATAAATGATCTGGAGGATGGTGTGGATTGCACCCTCAGCAAGTTTGCAGATGACACTAAACTGAGAGGAGAGGTGGATACGCTGGAGGGTAGGGATAGGATACAGAGGGCCCTAGATAAATTAGAGGATTGGACCAAAAGAAATCTGTTGAGGTTCAACAAGGACAAGTGCAGAGTCCTGCACTTAGGATGGAAGAATCCCATGCACCGCTACAGACTAGGGACCAAATGGCTTGGCAGCAGTTCTGCAGAAAAGGACCTAGGGGTTACAGTGGACGAGAAGCTGGATATGAGTCAACAGTGTGCCCTTGTTGCCAAGAAGGCCAATGGCATTTTGGGCTGTATAAGTAGGGGCATTGCCAGCAGATCGAGGGATGTGATTGTTCCCCTCTATTCGACATTGGTGAGGCCTCATCTGGAGTACTGTGTCCAGTTTTGGGCCCCACACTACAAGAAGGATGTGGAAAAATTGGAAAGAGTCCAGCGGAGGGCAACAAAAATGATTAGGGGACTGGAATTCATGACTTACGAGGAGAGGCTGAGGGAACCGGGATTGTTTAGCCTGCAGAAGAGAAGAATGAGGGGGAATTTGATAGCTGCTTTCAACTACCTGAAAGGGGGTTCCAAAGAGGATGGCTCTAGACTGTTCTCAGTGGTAGCTGATGACAGAACAAGGAGTAACGGTCTCAAGTTGCAGTGGGGGAGGTTTAGGTTGGATATTAGGAAAAACTTTTTCACTTGGAGGGTGGTGAAACACTGGAATGGGTTACCTAGGGAGGTGGTGGAATCTCCTTCCTTAGATATTTTTAAGGTCAGGCTTGACAAAGCCCTGTCTGGGATGATTTAGTTGGGGATTGGTCCTGCTTTGAGCAGGGGGTTGGACTAGATGACCTCCTGAGGTCCCTTCCAAGCCTGATATTCTATGATTCTATGATCAATTCTGGCAATTCCTAACTTCTGGGAGCTTGAGTTTACAGCCTTAATAATGGTCTTTTAATTTAGTTTCTTGTGTAGAATTGTCTATGTTTTTAAAAAGCAAACTGAAGGAACAGAAATTTGATCATGTGGCATCATATTGACACACATGGGTCATCAGCAGGATTAGAACCTTAAGATCCACTGCACTGACCTCTGAGCTAGTGGAGTAACTGATAGCAACAGTAGGTTACTGTCCTCTATGTCAATTAGCACTAGAAGGTGTTTAAACACACATCTTGCCTGTGGATTTCACAACAGGTGTTTGCTAACAGCAGACGAATGGTGAGACTCAGTAATCTTGGGTTCTATTCAAGGCTTTAGAGGGGCGTGTGCTCTAGTGGGCACAAACTCTTCTGCCCATTCCTCTCCAGCTTAACCCGTTCTGTCCTATCCCTTCCAACATGTCTCTTAAGACTTCTCATCTCAGTTCCATTCTTTTTGCCTACCCAGTCTCCTCTTCCGGGCTTAGTCTCCTAACCCCCCATACTCCCAGTGTCCTTGCCAAACCCAGTTCCCCACTCCTGGCTCCTTGTCCACTCTGTCTGTCCCATTCCTCCCTGCCCACCCCCCAACACTGGCTCCCTGTCTCCCTCCCTGGGATCCTTATTCAATTTTAGTCCTCCCTTCTTACTCCTCACCCTGCTGCTTGCCCCAGTCTCCTCACTCTGTGGCAACTTGTCCCAATCTTTTTGCCTGTCAAGTCCTAGTTCCTCCCCCACACCCTCCTGCTCCTTGTCAGATCTTCTCTCCTGCCCCCGTTCACCCCCAGCTGATTTCTAGTCCCAGTCACAGATCCTTGTCCAATCTCAGTGTCGTCCCCTGCCGCCAGCGGCTCCCAGTACTCCACATGTCTCACTAGCTTCCAGGCTCCTTGCTCAACCAGTTCCAGCCTCCTCTCCCTCCCTGTTCCCAGTTTTAGTTACCATGCCCTGCCAGTCCCAGTCTCCTTGTCCAACCAATCTTAATTCCCCCCACACATACCACCAACTCCCAGTAACACTTTCTCTCCCTTCCCCCTTCATCCCCAGTCTCACCAGACTTCTTTCCCCAATGTACTCGTTTCTTCCCTTCCCTGGTCCATCTTTTGTCCCCTCTGCATTTGAATCAGCTGGCTTCCTCCTTCACACTGTCTGAGTTCCAGCATGGGATTGGGGAGGGTGTCATTGACAGTGCAGGAGAGACAGGCTCTGTACTCTCACTTCCAGTATCCAGCCCCATTCTGACTCACAGCAGCTGGGATCAGCCATTACAGTGAAAGTCCAGCTTCATACTTGTAGTCCTGTGTTGGAGCCACTGTGAGGGGATGAAGCATGCTAGATGTGAGGACAGAAAATTTGGATATTTTAGAACTGAGAGATGTGAGAAGCTCGAGCATGTTCAATGTGGACAGAAAATTTGGATATTTTAGCTGCTAAAGTTGAAAAAGTCTCTAGTGAGAATGTGTGAACAGTGATTTTTCAAAGGCTTGTAGCTTGGCGAAATATTGGCAGATTTTCAGATGGATGGTAAAGGGCACATCCCTGAAACAAATGCCAGATTTCAAGTCCTTGCTCCAAATCATAGATGATAAAGATATTCAAAGAAAAGGTAGCCAGAATTACTTTATTATAAGTAAGAGTGCATTTTTCACTAGCCTCATTAGTGGAAACAACTGAACAGTTTTGGCTGAAATTAGAGATAGACTAGAATTTTCAAAAGTGCCTAGTCCCATTTTCAGACGTGACTTATCTTCTTACTTTTCACTTTTGAAGATGGAACTTAGGCTCCTAAATTACTTTGGCACTTTTGAAAATGTTACCTATAATATTTTATGTTTCATTGTTAGTGTAACGTTGTGGCTTGCCCCATGCACTGGAGAGCCTAGGGCTAAACCAAACTGATTACAAAATGAGCCCCACCTGAGGGGAATCAGACAATTTCCCATATCAAGCAGAAAGTGGCTGCAGTAAAGCAGACTGAGCTGGGCTTAAGTGGTGATAAAGCTTGGCTGGGGAAAGAGATGGAGGAAGAGCCAGAGCAAGAAGGAAAGCTTTCTAGGCAGGGAGGAGACAGAGAGACCCAGAGGGGAACTGAAAAGATTGGATAGGAAGCAGCCCAGACAGAACTGCAGCACAGGTAAAGGAACAGACCTATTTATTCAGTACATGGCCTTAAGTCAAAACCCAGAGGGTGGAACTGGGTTCACCTACAAAGGGGGCATACAAATCCTTCGCAAGGATTATTGAGCCTAGGATGGGGGGCCTACAGACTATGCCCTGAAGATAGGCAGATGATTAGCCCCAGAGAGGGTGGAAGAATTTTGTTTATGTTAAAGACGTTTGGGGACTCTTTGTTTGGACAGTTGTGACTCTGAAAGGGGTGGACTTAAGATGGTGACCCAGCTAAAGGGCCAAGTTACTGGAAGAGAAGCCACCACAGTGCCCGAGCAACTGTTGGCAGGGTGGTGCTAGAGTAGCAAGAGAATTGCTATGCCACGTCTGGCTAGGAGGGAGGCCCTAGTAGTGAGTCGACTTATTTACAGGTGGCATCCTTTAAAAGTTTTTGAAGATGGTGTTTGAAACCAGATGAAAACAGTGTGTGAACAGTACAGTGTATGCTAGTGACAGGCAAAATATCTAGAGTTTGTGTTTGTATACTCATCCAAAATTTCAGATGCTTATCTGAACCTCTGTGTGGTAACATTTCCAGATCAGACATTCTTATGATGTTTTCAGCACCCCTGGGGTCAGGGGTGCTAAAAATTAGGTCATAATTTCAAATGTGTGGAAATAGCTTTTGTTGCAAGAGATTTTGGTACTCCACTGCCATCTAAAACCAAGAAATGAAGAGATGTACAAAAAAAAGGAAATAATTTAAAGCTATATTTCAGCCTCGTGGTGAATTTAATTGATGTCACAACCTCTAAGTGGCGTCAAACAGCTCTAGGAGTTCCACAATGTTTCAACATCTCTAACTGATTTACATGTATAATATTTTGTATCTCTGGTATATATATTAAGACTGTAATTCCATCTCGGGATTCTGGTGACATTTGCAAATCACTTAAGTAATGTGCTTATTGTATATGTCACCAGAACTTATTGATGGAATTATTTCATTATTATGTACAGGTTTAAGTATATGTATTAAGTTGAAAAAAGAAATTTAGAGTATCAGTATTAAAAATCCTGTTCACAAAGTAGTATGTGATACATGAAACTTCTTGAATAGCAATGACCTTTCCCTGACCTTCCATTAATACCACTAGTGGGGATCCTCCTCCTCTCTTTAGGGCAGGGATCATGACTTCTTCTGTCTTGTGCATTGTTGAGCACACTGACATACAACTAATATTTTTCATTATTATTATTTAAGGAACTGGTCAGTGTGTATTTATATTCAATTCACTTGAGATGTATAATTAAGTGTAACTTATTCTTCAGGTTTACAAAGAAGATCTACCTCAGCTGAAACAACAAAGTAAAGAGAAAAACCATTCAGTGCCCTTCCTTAAAAGAGAGAGAGCTCCTGAGGACAGCTTAAAACTGCAGTTTGTACATGGGTATTGTAACTACTAAGTAAAGGTTCTTGGACTTCTCTTTTGTAAGCCAAAATTTCCATTGAATAGCACAGTGCTTAAATAGACACTTAAACACACCTTAATTAACTTGAGGTAAAGTATTTGATGTAACATTTTCCACTGCTTACCCACAGGTAAATTACTGCGCCTACTGGTATTGTGGTAAAAATGGGAATATCACCTATACATTTCTCTTCTTTTCAGTTGTGATTGTTAGAGAGGAGGATAGAAAGAGGTACCAATGTACCTAAGTAATAACCAAGCATTATCTTTTTTTTTTAAGATCACCTTTTCAACTCAGAGTTGACTTTCCTTGGTATTTCCTGGAGCAGTCATTAGGTCCATTGGCTATGGTTGTTGTAATTAGTAGAAATGTGTGATACATTTGCAGCACAAAAGCATGCAAAGCTTTCCTGGGTGTAATTTTGTATGAACTTCAGCTAATTTTATGATTTCTCATCCAGATCATAGGAACTCTGTGTTTTCTCATGATTTTGATGCAAATCAGGTGAACACTGACAGTTCTGGATGAGTTTTTGCTTCAGTTAATCCCCAAAATCAAAGTGAAATTTGTTTGAATGCAGAAAAAAAGGTATACTTAACTAGTGCAAAGAAAACCATGGAGTTTTATGCAGCTCTAGTCGTTAACAATTATGAATGTAATATAAGACATTTAAATGGTTGTAGTCAGCCTGTATATTATGATATTTTGGGTCTAGCTCAGGTAAGTCATTTGCGTAGTTAGATTGTTTTCCCCCAAAGTACATGGATATTTTTGGTGGCATATTAAACTTCCCTTGCTTTATATTTATTTCAGTTACAGAGGCTACGACTGTCGAAATAATTTGTTCTACACACAAACTGGAGAAGTAGTTTACCACATCGCTGCTGTTGCCATTGTATACAGTAGGCAACAACACACCCAAAGACTATATCTTGGTCATGATGATGACATCCTCAGCTTAACCATCCATCCAATGAAAGACTATGTTGCTACTGGACAGGTATGTATCTAGGAGTGTTGGTCATAACAAAACAACTTAAGGAATTCTCTATCAAACTATATTTGAGAAATGCAAAACAGTTTGTGTACCTTTGTCATAAAGAAAGGTATTTTTCTGCTTTGAAAATCACAGATTAAATGTTTTGCTACCCATGTCATTGCCTAACTGCTAGGGAAAGCAGTAGTGGAAACCATGAGTGTGACACTGTTACAGTATTCCTAAAAAACAGAAATTAGAGTCTCCTATTGTGGCATTTGGAAAGTTGCTTATTCACTCTGAACCTTTGCTCCTCATCTGTAAAATGTAGAAAATAATACATATTTCCCTACCTCCCAAGAGTCTTCTAATGTTTACTTAGGTTTTTATTATTTTATTATATTTGTATAACAGTAGCACCTAAAGGTCCCAAGTAGGTAAGGATCTCATTGTGTTAGGCACCATACTGACAAAGTAAAAGACTGTCCTGATGCAAAAAGCTTTAATTCTTAATTCTAAGATATGACAGGATGGCGAGACATATAGGCAGGGGCCAGGGAGCAGCCGCGTAGCCAGGTGGAGGGAACAGGGGGAGGGTGGATGAGCTAATGATAGTAACAGAATATTTGTGTAAAGATTAGCAATGTTCACAATCTTTAGGTATAATAAGATGAACAACAACAGTAACATTAGATTCCTGATTGATAGGGCTGCAGATTTGTCATAGCATTTTTTAAACAAAAATCAGGGAGCAGTTATGGCAGATACAGTAAAAGTCATAGGTTACCAAATTTACCTTGACTTCTCCCTGACTTTTGATTTAAAAAAATATTGTACTCCTTGCCCTGCTGAGGAGGTATGGACCATCCACAGCAGCACCTTTAACCTCAGGATTGCAACCCTAATCCTGACTTGGTGTGGAAGGGAGGGCTGCCCAAGGAGAGGGAGGATGCTCTGAAAAGTGAGAGCCTGCACACGCTCATCCTGCAGCAGCAGGTCCTGTGGGCCTGTGCCTGGCACCCTGCTCTGGGCATTGTGACTTGGCATGTTTGCTCTGGTTTGCCCAGCACTCCCCCCACCACATTATGACAGAGGTTGGGTGGGCCAATCCTGAGTGGCACTGCAACCTGGTGTACGAGGTCATAATGCCCAAAGCAGGGAGCTGGGCCCAGCCCTGTGGGATCAGAGCTGCTGCTGCTGTGAGTGAGTGACTGACAGAAAAAGTCACGGGCAAATGGGAAAATCACACTAAAGGTGCCTTTTTTTTCCACCCACTAAGACAAACCTGTAGTCTACTGTTTCCCTATCCATTCTCATCAGGCAGGGATTTGTACTCATCATGGCAGGGATGAGTGTTGAGGGATTTGAAGAAAGATGAAATCGAACTATATGGATTATAAAAGTGAGTTTTACTTATTCATAAGGAGTGGTAATGGGGGAAAGCTCAAAGGTGTCTAGGGAGAAGCTGACTGGTGGGCAGTAAAGACTGGGAATGTTGGAGAAGGAAAAGCAGGCATCATCATCATCATGATATAAATTACTAGATCAACTATGTAGCGTGGGACCAAGTCCTGAAAAGGCTTATAGATAGAGACAAGAAACATATGTTGGATGTGTAGATAAGTGAAAGCATTGGAGAAACTCAAAGAGAAGACTGATGTGCTCAGAACCAGGAAGATAATCCTAGAAGCAGCATTTTGAATAGACTTGAGGGGAACAAAGGTGCAGCAGTTAAGGCCAGGGAGGAGGAAGTTGCAGCAGTTAAGATGCAAGATAAGGGCCTAGATGAGAATTTGATCGTGTAGAGAGAGAAAAGGTCAAATTTTAGAAACATTCTTTACCACGAAGTGGAGAGATTTAGACGCAGCCTAGATGTGTGGATTTCAAAGGAGGGTTGAATTAAAGATGATGCCCAGAGGGGAAAGGAGGGAGAGGAGAGGCTTTGGGACAAAATATAAGACCTCTGATTTGGGAATGTTGCATTTAAATTGAATGGCTGGACATCCACAAAGAGATGTCAGAAGGACAGGCTGAGATTTAAGTTTGTGCAGATGAAGGCAAGTCTGACGTGGATATGAAGTCAAAGTTTTGTTTATGGATAAGATCATCCAGAGACAGAATGCAGAGGAAGAAGAGTGTAAAGGCTGGAGCTCTCTTGAACCTCGAACATTAGTTACAGGCATATGAGGAGGACCTACCAAACAAAACGCTGAAGAAATTATTAAAGAGGTAGGAAGAGAACTAGGAATAGTCACAAAAGCTGAGGGAAGGTGAAATTTTAAAAGACCATGGCCAGCAGCATCAAAGTAGCCAGTAGGTCAAGGAGAACAAGGATGTATCCATGTTATTTGGATGCAAAGTGCTCAATAGACCCTTTGTTAAGTGTGGCTTCTGTGGAGTGTAAAGCTGGAAGTCAGATTGGAGAGGATCTAGGCTGGAATGGGAGGGAAGGAACTTCAGACAGTGGTTCTAGAAGGTGCATTGAAAGAATTTGGAAATGAACAAGAGAAGAGAGATTGGGTGATAATTTTAAAGGAAGCTACAGTGAGGTGGTTTTTGTTTGATTTTAAGATGGGGGAGACCAAAGCATGCTCATACAGGGAGGGGAAGGAAAAAATAGAGTAGGGGGTGAGGGAGGTCAGGAGACTGGAAGAAACTGGAGGAGGAGGAGGAAAGCAGGAGAGTATGCAGTGAAAAAGGAGAGATGAGAAGAAGGTTATGCCAGATGGTTTTCAACATTTCCTTTGAAGGCGGTGCAGAGATGGGGGGAAGGGACAGAAAAGGGAGGTAAAAAAAAAGGACAGCTGGGGTTGTGGGTGTGGGATTGAGTGAAGGTGGAGAAGTAGACCTGTGTGGCTAAAAGGATGGCAAAACTGAAAGAAGTGAATTAGTGGAAGAAGTCTGTATGGTTGTGGGATATCTACCATAAGAGAAGGTGAGGAAGAGGGCACTGAGAATGAAAGAGAAGTTCTCGGTGTTGATGAATAGGAAATCACAGGAGGATGGGGTTTCTGGGCAATGCTGAGGGGCAGGTGGGTGATAGTAAGGGAGATGTGGTAGTGACCAGGGAAATGGAAGTCAGAGATGGAGAAATTGGAGAGAGCAGTTCTTCATGAAGATAAGATCTAATGAGTGCAAAGGTTAATGCTTCTAAAGTATTTTGAAGATGCAAAAGTGCTAAATATTGTTATAGTAATTTAGGAACAGCTATTAAGATTAGCATTCTAATTTAGGTTGGAAGAGATGCTGCTATTCATGTGTGGGACACACAGACACTAAAATGTTTATCGTTGCTGAAAGGCCAGCACCAAAGAGGAGTATGTGCACTGGATTTTTCAGGTAAGCAACAACCCACACACATCAGAATGAATTATTAAAATTAGTCATTTAGTCTAAAAATGAAATTTATCTTTTAGATAAAAGGACATTTTTATAATTAAGATCAATTTCACATGGGCTGTTTGATAAGAGTGGGATTGTGTATGGGAATCAAGTACATGGCCTTTTTTTTTTTTTTTTGCCCTAAAAATGGATTATTATTCAAGTGCTGCTCCCTGTGCATATTCCAATTGCGGGTGCGCATGTGCGCCATTCACCAGAGCCAGAACTGTTCATAGTAGTTTCCATTGACTCACATGTGCGTCGTACATTGACCACATGACTCATCCGAGGCTTTAAGAGGCTGTGTGGGTTGACTCCACTCCAGAGTCAGAATCCTCTGTTCCTCTGTGGTCTTAGTGAGCTAAGAGTACTGCATTTGCCTTTGTACCTAGTTCTTTCTAGTTAGATAGTTGTCCATTCATTCACAGTAGTTAGTTAGGTTCTCCCTTGAATTTCCCCTATCTGGGACTTCTCCTCCTCCCCAGACCCAACAAGCGAGTTTCAAGAACTGTGCCTCGTGCCCTTACCCCTTTTTGGTGGGTGACGAACACACTCATGGCCTGTACTGCCTGGGTGAAGCCCACATAGTTTCTCGCTGCTCCATCTGCTGCTCATTTCCATTGCGGACCCGAGCAGCTCATGAACTTCGCCTCCATAATTTTCTAATGGAGGAGGCAATGTGCCCACATGTGCAACCAGACCCAGCTCTGACGGAACCACCAGAGCGGCGCCCATCACCGATGGTGAGCGCCTCACCGGGTCCCTCATGTGCGGCACCGGCCAGGTTTGTATAATATTTGGTGGTGCCCAGAATGGGTCCAAGTCCTGCCCCCCCCCCCCCCACATACACCTGCCTAAAGCTCTGGGAGGGAGTTTGGGTGCAGGAGAGGGTTTGGGGTGCCAGCTCTGGGAGGAAGTTTGGGTACAGGAGGGGTGCAGGCTCTGGGACAGAGTTTGGGTGCTGGATGCAGGCTCTGGGCTGGGGCAGGGGGTTGACATGGCCCTTTCCCCGGCCTTCTCCTACAGCCTGGAACCATGACACCAGTCCTATCCTCTGGGATATGATCCTGCAGTCGACCTGTGGTTCCTTTACCAATGCATGGCGATCCCTACTCCTGGCCTTACTGGCCCTCATGGGACCCCTACCACCATTTCAGTATGCATCGCCCGCATGGTCTGTCTCCTGTTTCAGGAGGAACCCCTGGGTGCTCCCACTCCGTCAGCACTGCTGGCCTCAGTGGCACCATCGGAACCAGCAGTCCCTATAGGCACTTTGTCATCACTGGACGATGCCCTTATTCCACCTTCCCTCTCACCACCAGATGACCATGCACAATTGATGGCTTCTGCACTCAGTCTCCCAGTAGAGGATGTTCAAGACTCCCAGAACCAATTCCTGGACATCCTTCAACCTTCCAGACTGTCTCGTACCTCCTTACCAATACATGGTGCCATCTTACAGTCAGCCCAAGCTTTATGGCATATGCCAGCATCCTGCACCCCCACACCAAAAGTGAGTGGAATGCTGATACTTTATCCCCTCTAAGGGCGCTGATTTCCTTTTTACCCACCCACCACCTAACTCTCTGGTTGTCCACACTGCCGCCGAATGCACCCGTCAGCAACACTTCAAGTCTGCTCTTCCAGACTACACTGCTATCACCCATGGTCTGAGACTGAACTTATGCAGAGCCACCAAGGAACAGAAGCCCTGTCCGCTCTTAAGCAACAGGGGCCATATATGCTATCCTGGAGGATCTTACTATCTGTGCAGGCCTGGAATTGCCAATTCTATCTAATCCAGTCCTAACCAGGGAGGTCCCCACACCATCTGTTCAACACTCACAGGTACCAATGACTAGCTGAGGTATAATAAGACCACCAGTACAGAGGGCACCACCCATCAATACAAAGACCTCACACTCCTCCCAACAAATCTGGAATCAACAGGAGAGCATCACCAGCCTTTTCAAAGTGGGCAGTCAGCCCCAACAGATGATCCAAGAACTCATGAGCATCTTTCCACTCTCACAGGAAGGACTATCAGAATCAGTGTTACCCTCCCTTCCTCGTTACCCCCATGATCCCTGGCACTGCACTTATTTGGGTCCCTGGGATCTGTAATTGAGACAGCCTGAGACAGGTAATCCCGCAGGGGTGAGTGGTTCAGCTGATCCACTCTGGGGTCTGGAACACATGACTTATGAGGAGAGGCTGAGGGAGCTGGGATTGTTTAGCCTGCAGAAGAGAAGAATGAGGGGGGATTTGATAGCTGCTTTCAACTACCTGAAAGGGGGTTCCAAAGAGGATGGCTCTAGACTGTTCTCAATGGTAGCAGATGACAGAACGAGGAGTAATGGTCTCAAGTTGCAGTGGGAGAGGTTTAGGTTGGATATTTGGAAAAACTTTTTCACTAAGAGGGTGGTGAAACACTGGAATGCGTTACCTAGGGAGGTGGTAGAATCTCCTTCCTTAGAGGTTTTTAAGGTCAGGCTTGACAAAGCCCTTGCTGGGATGATTTAACTGGGAATTGGTCCTGCTTCAAGCAGGGGGTTGGACTAGATGACCTCCTGGGGTCCCTTCCAACCCTGATATTCTATGATTCTATGATCAGGTTGCTGATTTTCCTCAGAGTGTTCCTGAGTGGATTGAGGTTCTTCAGGGTCCGTTCTCATGCAAGGATGCTCAGACAGGAAGTAGTCTGAGCATCCTCCAGGAGCCATAGAAACAGTACAAGGGAAAAGGATTACACTCAAGATACTTCCTCATCCCCAAGAAGAAAGGAGACTGAAGGCCCATAGTAGATTTGAAACAGCTGGATGTCTTCATCCACAGCCTGAAGTTCAGAGTGATCACCCTGACCTTTATAGTTCCCTCATGGACTTATAGAGGTCAGGGTGATCATTCTGTTTACAGCTCTTGATGTAAAGATGCTTATTTCCACATATCACATTCTGGGGTGCAATTCAGATTAGTGAGAGGTTATGTCACTGCTTGTCCTGTAATCCTGAGTGCCTTAAATGCTCTGCTTCTGTAGCCTCATGTCTGGATGTTCCCAGTCAACATGCACTGAGTGTCTGTGTGTTGAGTAGCCCTGGTTCAGCAACTCTGACTCCAGCAGCCTGCTTTTTTCACCACAGTCACACTCTGGTCTCCACCAGCTTTGGTTACTACTTCCAAGTGATCCCAACACACACCTACTCCTGAATTTCCCCCAAACCATGTACCATGAAATGTCCAGCCCCTCCTGGAACATTCAGAGGAGTGATAAGTTCTGTTGCTCCTTTAAAAAGACAAAAGCGCAGCACCTTCTTGCTTTAACTGCAGTTAATATGACTTCAAGTGAAACACAGTCCTGGGTTGATTCAGAATAGAAGTAAAAGGTTATTTAATGAAAGAGAGAGGTTTTCAGTGAGTTGAAGTATAAGGGATAAAATCAGAAATGGTTACAGGCAAATAAAAGTGAAAAATGCTTTCTAGTAACCAAAATTTAACCAAACTACAGCCTTGGTTCAAGATGAGTTTCTTACCACACGTCCTTCCAGCAAGATTGCTGTCCGCCCCATTGGTCAGGATTTCCCACAAAATACAAAGTGCTTGGTTCCTTTGTAAGTCGTGGGTGAAGTATAACTTGGAGTTCTTTGCCCCTCTCTTTTATAGAAATGTATCCTTCTCAAAGTTCAGTGCCCCTGCTGTGAGGAATGGGCCATGAAGTCAAATGAAGAAGGTTCCATGCTGGTTTCTTCCCCGCTGGTGCTTTCTACAATGCAAATTTATCTGTCCATGCAGTCTCTGATATGCCAGTGAATGGCCACTTGTCTGATTTCTTTGAAAAAAGTCAAGGAAAGTGTGGGCCCCTTACTGAATGAGGGAGGCAACCTAACGACAGAGGATGTGGAAAAAGCTAATGTACTCCATGCTTTTTTGCTTCTGTCTTCACGAAGAAGGTCAGCTCCCAGAATACTGCACTGGGCAGCACAGTATGGGGAGGAGGCGACCAGCCCTCTATGGAGAAAGAAGTGGTTCGGGACTATTTAGAAAAGCTAGACGAGCACAAGTCCATGGGGCCAGATGCGCTGCATCTGAGGGTGGTAAAGGAGTCAGCGGATGTGATTGCAGAGCCATTGGCCATTATCTTTGAAAACCCATGGTGATCGGGGGAGGTCCCAGATGACTGGAAAAAGGGTAATGTAGTGCCCATCTTTAAAAAAGGGAAGAAGGAGGATCCTGGGAACTACAGGCCAGTCAGCCTCACCTCAGTCCCTGGAAAAATCATGGAGCAGGTCCTCAAGGAATCAATTCTGAAGCACTTAGAGGAGAGGAAAGTGATCAGTAACAGTCAGCATGGATTCACCCAGGGCAAGTCATGCCTGACTAATCTAATTGCCTTTTATGACCAGATAACTGGCTCTGTGGATGAGGGGAAAGCAGTGGACGTGTTATTCCTTGACTTCAGCAAAGCTTTTGATAGGGTCTCCCACAGTATTCTTGCCAGCAAGTTAAAGAGGTATGGGCTGGATGAATGGACTATAAGGTGGATAGAAAGTTGGCTAGATTGTTGGGCTCAACGGATAGTGATCAATGGCTCCATGTCTAGTTGGCAGCTGGAATCAAGTGGAGTGCCCCAAGGGTCGGTCCTTGGGCCGGTTTTGTTCAATATCTTCTTTAATGATCTGGAGGATGGCATGGACTGCACCCTCAGCAAGTTTGCAGATGACACTAAATTGGGAGGAGAGGCAGATATGCTGGAGGGTAGGGATAGGATACAGAGGGCCCTAGACAAATTAGAGGATTGGGCCAAAAGAAATCTGATGACGTTCAACAAGGACAAGTGCAGAGTCTTGCACTTAGGATGGAAGAATCCCATGCACCGCTGCAGACTAGGGACCGAATGGCTAGGCAACAGTTCTGCAGAAGAGGACCTAGGGGTTACAGTGGACGAGAAGCTGGGTATGAGT